CTATCTATCTATCTATCTATCTATCTATCTATCTATCTATCTATCTAAGGCCAGATCGAGTACCTCCCACCACCCTGCATCAGCTCTGTTGAACCTGTAAGAAAATTTGCATGAATAAGGCCCTGAGAGAAGAAGCTGTGTCAAAATGCGTCACCTCTTCAATTTTCTATTTCATTGATAGAGAAACTGCCATCTGTTTACATCTGTATTCTTAGAAGTATTTAGGCTTAATTTAATTCTTTTGGTTTGACGTTGAACGAAGCGTTTGCTTGGCAGTGTAGCCCTGTTTCGGCTCCTGTGGTGTAAGAATTGACGAAAAGGAAAGCAAAGATGCAGGATGGAGGGGATGATTCACTTTCATGAATATCCATAAGAGCCAGCCTTCATTCTCAGTTTGCTGCTGATCTGAGTTGGTTATGTTAACCAGTGGTTGCTGACGTAGATGACTGGCAGTGACAGAGTAGTAATGAGGTGCAGTTTTGCCACCTGGGTTTCACAACAACAACCAGAACTTTCTTGAATGAAACTGAATACATTTGTAAACAAGAAGGACCTGCGTTTCTTTATCGAAAAATTAAGTTCACTTCAGTTTTTATTTGGCCCTGAAGCAAATCTACAAGATGGATTTATGTGCTTGGATGTACTGGATATATTATTTTCAATACTTTGCTACTATCTTGCATTTGTTTTAATGGCTTGAATAAAATGAGTATTATCACTTGTTGTTAAACACAGAGAATATGTGGCATAACAGATAAATGTAGAGAGAATCCGTGGGAGGAAGTGGGGCTCCCTGTTTACATCTCTGTCTTAGACTTTCCAGGCTGACAAAGTCAGACCGCATTGAAGTGTGGCTTGTTGCTGAAGTCACATGATCTTCAGAGGAACTACCTAATTCTCCACCTCCATTCCCACCCACAGGCTCATATATATACATTCTCATTTAGGTCATCGCCCATTTCCACTAAAACACATCACTGAATATCGTGTAGAGAAAGACAGACTTCAGTCAGAGGATAAGAAATTAAGAGGGGTGACATTTCAGGAATTTGTTTCAAAAGTCACAAGAAAACTGAACTGACGAAAGAATGTTGCTGGACGGGATCATCTTTGGGTTGCTTGCCTCTTTTGTGACAGGTAATTTATAACTACTTTTAGGTCTAAGTTCAAGTTAAATGTATTTTGGTGTCTTTGTGTGTGTTGTGTGTTTTACATGATCTGTGTTTGCTCTATCCAGTAGCCAGAAGTGGGACGGTTGAGGTGCTGGTGGAAGCAGGCTCTCAGGCTGTTCTGCCCTGTAAATGCAGCACTGAGTCCTGCCATCCTGCTTCTGTCATCTGGAGCAAAGCCAATGAAGGGTGAGTGGTAGATCCCTTGGACTGGCGACCTGTTTAGGGTGTACCCTTTCGACCGTTGTTGGATGGATGATAGATACTCGCTTTTCCACACCACCCTCCTCTTCTGCTTATCTGTCTAGCCCTAAACACCAAGACAACAAACTTCTTTTTTCAAACTAAATTCTTTTACCTGCATGTCTGTGATGATGGTTTGTTACTGTGATTCTTCTTTTTCACAGGACTGTTTGGAGAAAGGAAAGAAGCGGTCTACAGTACTGGGGATCGAGCTGGTCACAGAAGGACGGCCAGCGTGTGCGATGCCCGCACTCTCAGTTTGACAAAGGCGATTACAGCCTGCAAATCGAAAGAGTCAAAGAGGAGGATGGAGGACTTTATCTCTGCAGCATTGGATTCAGAACCCACGTTGTAACAAATCGTGTTATGCTAAGGATCATTAAAGGTAAGAAACCGTTGTCTTTAAGGGCCTCCTTTTTACTTCTGCCAGAGGTAAAAAACAAAAGTGAAACAGACGAATCCCTTAGAAATTCGACTGTTCAGGCACAGAGCGAAAAATTAAGACTTTTACGAAACCATTATAGTAGATTTAAATTGTCTCTGATGCTGTAAATAAACATAATTCCCCTCACACTGCCTTTCATCCCCACAGTGTCTGCCAATCCACTGGTTCCCACTCAGGGAGATGATGTGTCAGTGTCCTGCACTGTCACACCTTGGCCTAAAGGGGCTTTTGTGAATTGGATTTTGAACAACAAAGTATTTATCCCTACAACTGGAGTCATCTCAAATGGAGATGGAAGTGTTTTTAAAGACAAGGCGACTGAGAGACTGACGGGCACCTGGACCTGCATCGTGAACTACATAAAAGTGGGAAGAGCCTCAACAACTCTGTCTGTGGCAGGTGAGGTAACAACCTGGAGAGGGTTATGAAATTTAAAGCATAAGGTGTCAAATTATATCTTAAAAAACATTGATATTTTTCCACTCTCAGGAATCATTCAACCGCCCCAAGACGATACCAAGCTGTATGCCGCGTTGGGGTCTACACTCACTCTCCCCTGCGCCTTTTCACCTGGTTTAACCCCGACTGAGACTGTCTGGGAGAAACTTGAGGACGGGAATTCAGTGACCCCAAAGAGCCGCGATCCTTCTTTGTCCAGCAGTGATACGTCTTACAGGATTCAGGAGGTTTTGCTCGATGATAGTGGCAGATACAGATGTGCTGGGAATGTAAAAGGGCAAACGCTGAGCCGCACGATGCAGCTTGTCGTCGCACAAAGTAAGTTTACACAACCTCAGCTCCTGAAAAAAAAGGGCATCATCCTTTTTTTCCTATATTTATGTTTTTCTTGACTTTTCTCAGTTGTCCAAAGGAAGAAGAGAGACTCTGTGATGCTGACCTGCCAAGTGACCGACTCAAGTGAGATCAAGGAATATGAATGGGTTCATGTGACCTATGACCTCAACGGCACAGAGTCTGCTGGACCCGTCCAGAAAGGACAGACTGTCACGTTAAAGAACAGCTGGGGTGGCTGGACCTGTCGTTACTATGGGAGAGATGGTATTTTGGGAAACGTTACATACCAAGTTCCAATGATGAGTAAGTCCTCTATTAGATTTTTATGAATTTAAATATACTGCAAAAATATCCACTCAAATGTTACACTGGATTCATGTCCTTGGAAAGGTCTCATGTGCGTTTCTCTGACAAGCTTTCGGTTGTTTTCTTTGCAGGTGGTCAGAGTGGGCAGAAGTCATCAGCCTTCTCAAGTAACGCGGGCACCGTGACCGGGCTCAGCTTTCTGCTCCTCATTCTGCTGCTGGTCCTGGCTCAGATGTACAAAAATCACCAAAGGGTAAAAACCTTCCCATCATTCAAACACTGTGGACAACTTTACCAGAAAATAGAGGCTTTTTTATTCTTTAAACATTTTGGGTTAAGACATTAAAAAGGCATTAAAAACGTGTTTCTTGTTTGCCCGATAGAATTGACCTCGTCACAGTAGATGATGAAATGCAATGAGATAAAGAACATATTAGCTGTCATAGATTCAACTGCTGTGTTGCTCTTAATAATTCTGTGTTTCCCTTCTCTGCAGAGAAAAAGAATCTTTCAGTACCCTGCACTGGAGACGATTGTTCACACCATCTCCAATGAGCAGGAAGAGAAAGAAAGACGCCGAGTGAAAGAGTAAAGACACCTGAATTTGGAGGAATGGCAGGAAAAATTTTCAGCTCTAAACTGGAGTTGTTTGTTGGTTTTTTTACCACCGGAGAGCGCCTGGGGACATTTTTGCACATCTTTTGTAAATAATTTACCAGAGCATATTTTGTAGCAGAAAACTAATAAAATTACAACTAATTATCTTTTATTCAGCTGTAAATAGTCTTTATTACACCATGTGAAGATTTGTCTGTATGATGGGAACAAAATGTTTCCTCAATAAAGTGCACTTGACAGAAATAAGTTTGGTTTCATTAGTTATGTACAATCCGAATCCCACCTTACTGTTCGTATAAAAACAATAAAGAACAACAGATAACAAAATACAACTCTACAGATTTGCTGTACTTGTCCATTTACACATTTTATATTTTTTTATATGTATTCCAAAAAAGTCTATTTTTCTTTCCAGCATGTTGATCTGCAATTAACACTGACAGACAGAGATCATAAATTCAAAGACATGAGCTCAGGGAGTTCTGCCTACACCTGGCTACACTCCCCGTCCTCTTGCTCTGAAAAGTAGTTGAAACCAAAGTCAGCCAAAGATCTGCTGATTCCCTCCATGAGTCCTTCGTCTCCGGGAGTCAAACGGTCCATAACTTCATCATCATCAACACACCAGCCTGGCCAGTCCACATTGACGCCGTCTACAAAAACGGGACTGAAAGAAAGAGATGGAGAGAGAAGGTCAAAACTGGCCATTTTTCAGTTACTGAGTTAATCATAAGGCTAAAAATATTGCAGAAGGGTGGTAATGCTTGAAATGGTTTAGGGCTCTTTTTGAGCTAATGTTAAGTAAGGAACCTTCTAGACATCTTAGTTCATCTGGAGCACTGATTAATACCATCAGAGTTTAAACTTTATATAGCAAAGCCACTTTCAGATGCTTTTCAGTCAAATGAGAGTGTTATTGGATGACATTTTGACTAGAAGTACAGTAGCCATTTCTAACGAGTGAAATGTAAACAAATTAACAAACTTTGACAAAATATTTCCAGATTACATCCATGATTCAGGATGGTTGGATGGCTCAAATTTACTCTCACGATAAAATTGGCACCACCAATTGACCTAGCATGAACAGGAAAGAGTTTGTTTCCGATAAACTTCAAAGCTGTATTCTAAAACATTTTATTTCCGTTCGGAGGGAATGATGTTCAGCTATGTAAGTGCATGTGGTTTTCTTGTGACAATCTGAAGTGATCCTTTCAAAATTACTGTAATTATTCCAAAAAACTGGGAAAACCATGACAGACAAAAATTATATCTGTTCATCACAAAATCTTTTTTGGGCCAAAAAAAAAAGCATTTGTCACATTAATAACAACAAGATTCTCAGGATTCTGTGCTGTTATCAAGAAATGAGCAACACGGCAATGTTGAGCTTCCTGTCCCGCAGACCAGATAACACCAGCCTACCGATCAATGACAACTCATTTCGACAATAATGATTTGAATGCTTGAAAAAAAATACAGCCCAAATACATGCAACTGATTTACAAAGATATGGACTATCCAGAGCGCACGCAAACTCCGGTAAAACAAAGCTGATGCCCAGCTTTGTCATTATATCGCCAGCTTAGAAGAGAAAACCCAAGCAACTTTTTATGCTGACAAAGGTGTCAGATAATCAGAGACGCACACTATATAAGTACCTAAAGCTTAAGTCACACACTCTCTCTTAAGCTGAGATCACTGGAAAATGTGATGCCACAGATTTATTCGGAACTGTGGCGTTTAAGATGTTACTGGATTCACCCAATTACAGTGTTTCCTCCTATTTCCTCCTCATATATTTAAAGAATTTATTTTTTTGTCGTCTGATGCCATATCAAAACTGGAGGGACAGCAGCAGTGTGGCCTTTTTTCTCTCTTTCCATTAATTAATGAATGACTGTGGGACCTCTGTCGGACTGTAGGTGAAGCTCTGTTTAATCAAACCAGTAATTCCCAGCCAAAGAGCCCATGGCTTACATTTAGATTTTGACCAGATGGGGTTAAATCACAGTTTAATTGTATGTTGAAACAATGTAAATTTGTCTGGCTCACCTGCTCATCTTATCATACTCATCCCCGTCCACCAGCTGCTCCTTCCATCCTTTACTCACTGAGAGGCCCCTGTGCCTTATCAGTGCCACATCCTCCCACTCTGTGCCCCCGTCCCCACCCGTGGGTGAAGGTGTGGGGGGAAACGACGTTGGGGGAGGAAGATGCTTTGACCTCACGTTAGTGATTTTTAATTTTTTGTCCCTCTTTACTCCCCCTTTTACCCTCTCCCTCTCTTTGGCTTTTTCCAAAAACCCCTCCAGTGGGGAGTTGGAGGGCTTGTCTTCTATCTCACCATCGTGTCCTGAGCCGGACGTGTCCACAGCCTGAGGTGATGCTTGCAAGTAACTGGACTGCACATGTTTCCCGTTGCTGCCTTCAATAATGATGTTGGGAATTGAGGAACTCCTAAGAGCTTTTAATTTGGGCTTTTTGTTCTGGAAGCTCATTTCTTGCAGATCTGACTCAGGGAGGATTTGGGAATTGACTGAGGCAGCATGATGCATGTTCTGAAAGATGTCCCGTCTCTGCCTTACAGAGCCAAGTTTGAGCGATCTGTGTGAATCTGAGCCAAAGGCAGCAGGAAGAGAGTTCCTCTTGAAGGGTAGGTTGCAGTCTGAGTCTGAATTAGAGGAGCTGTTGGAAACTGATGGAATCTTTCTTGAGTTCTGAAATGACTGCTCAGACTTTGGAGTAGCAGAACCCACATTTGTGCTGACTGGTCTCCTCCTCCGTAGCTTGGGTGACTTTAGGTCTTTGGAGAAGGTAAAAACTGGTGACTCCGTGTCTAAAGACTGACTGGACCAGGAGCCTCTTCTGATGTCCTGCTGCAAATCTGAATCTCTCCTTATTAACAGTTCTCTTTCTGCCAGTGGTTTTAAAAAGCCCTCCTTGGTCATTTGCGACTGGTTATGAAGTTGTAAAGTGCTCTCTTCATCTGTAGGATAATCTACATCTGGTAGTCCTTCTAATAAAAAATAATTGGGTTTTGTTCTGTTATGTCTCACTGGATCTGTGGCCTTGTGATGAATGAAATTATCCTGATCCTCAGGAAAAGATTGCACCCTGTGGTTCAACATCACACTTTTTTCCTCCTCTTGCCACTGGTTCCCATTTTCATCTCCTTCTTGAGATCTCGTTTCTGACCATTCAGGTCCTTTGTATTCTGGCAGGTGACCGTTAGTGCTCCTTTTCAATAATTTATGGTCACTGCTGCGGTTGTGAGAGTTCCCAAAAGGCAATCCATTGTTTTCCACCTCAGGACCATTTATTCCACGAGAGGTTGATAATACTTCACTTAATTCATCATGAAAGGCCTTTCCTTGCATGAGAGGTTGCTCTTCCATCTCCATGTCGTCTACTTTGGGTTGTGTGACAGGCTCACGCATCCGTAAATTCTCGAGTCTGGTGGTTTCTTGTTCTCTTAGTTCCTTCAGTGTTTTCTGAAAATGTAACACATTTTAAAACTGTTAAACAACACCTGGGTATTTTCAGCTCGGATTCACATAGATATGGTGATTTGTTTCGCACCAAATCAGGAGCAATTTTTGCCATGGGACTGCATACAAAGCATTTCATGCACAACCGAAATATAATAATCATCACCAAACAGAGTGGGAGAAACTTCCGGTCTGTGAATGAAGTGACTCAGCATCCGGAGCCTATGGGGCAACTCTTGTGAGATGTGCCAGCACAGTTTGTCTGCCTTTCAGATCACATCAATCTTGTAATCAGATTCCGCCATATGGGTAGAAATGTGCAATTCACATGAGGAACATCTACAGATTATATTTTTACCATGGAAATTTCAATCTCTGTATTTCTGCATTTCTATATTTCCTTTCACACATTACAAACTTACGATATTCATTATTCACATTTATCTCATTTCTTAATTCCATTCCACATTTGTATTTGTTGGGACAGTTAAACTTTTAAGACTTTGTCATCATTCAATTTCTTTTTATGACATTCAAATGATCTTCTTGGATTAGGGTTTCCAGATATTTAGTGTTTCAGGACCATTTTCTGCCAAATTATCTACCAAACAGCTGTGCAAAATTACAGCATTGTTGCTGAGTTTCTGGTTTAAAATAAATCTCCAAAAATGGATGTAGAATTTTCATTTTTCATTTAAGAAAGCCATCCACCAGAAGGGATGAAGGCCTGTAGCTGATCTTCTTCTTTAAAACTTTTATTAATCTCTTTTTGCTAAAGTTTTTCTCTTTCATGGCTTCTTGTGCTATCTTACTTGTATTTAATGTTTTTTTTATTTATTATGAATGATAACACTAAAAACTAACTAAAAAGAATTGTGTAAAAAATGGAGATGTGTCATTTCTCTCATAAGGCAAATTATTATTTTCTATGGGCAACAACTTATAAAAGGCTGGATTTACACACAGTCACATCAAAATGGATCCCGTTACATGTGATGTGAATACCATTATCACACTCTTTGGACTAAAGGTCCAAAGTAATTCAGACATATCGATCTGTTTCACCGTAACGTTCCACTGGTAATGTGGTTCACATCTAAAAGAAGTGCCAATAATATCAAAATTGTAGTAATTTGACATTTTACCTGTGCCTCATGGATTGTCGAGACCCATGTGCTGCAACGATCTGAGGTGCTGGGTACAAGTATCAAGACATTCACAGGACTCTGAAGCTCTCCTATTTCCACCAGAAGAAATGAATCTGTGAAAGTTACAGGCATATAAGGAATCAATCATCAGGTATGAATGAAGTAGCCAAGTGTCCTCCATCATAACGGCATGAGAGTCTAACTCACAGCCATCTTTAAGTGGAATGCACTGTGTTCTGTCAAGCGCCACAGGAGGTCGAAACACCTTCAGTCGCTCCCCTTTCTTCTGGACTTTAGCCAAAAGTAGCACATCTGAGAAGAGCAGAGCTACCAGCTCTAGCTGCAACCAACCAATTGCAAAGAAAGAGAAAAATATTTCAGCAGAAGCATTGGAAGTTGTGCTCTGCAGTCAGGGATTTAGATGTGTGCTAATTGTGTGTGCCAGCTTTGTTCACCTTATTGTCCTTCCTGCCCCGAACCTTCAAGTTCTCTTCCAGCAGCAGCTTACGGAGGACTTCCGGACCCACTCCTTTGATGGGGCATGTTAGATTAAACTGGCAGATGTCTCGGACGTGCTGTCAACCATAACAAATTATTGGAGGCAGAATCAGAAAGAAATTAGTTTATTTCAGCAGACATTTTCTTTAATATTTTCTTCACAGCTGATTTCTTAGCTGTAATGTATTTGAAAAGGCACATGAAATTACTCTATTTCCTTTTAGGCATTAAAAGAAGAATATTGTACTCTGCCGTGTTTATTATAGTTAAAAAGCTTGACATGCTTTAGAAATAAAAACCTCCAAGATGTGTTTCGGATGAAAAGGGGATATCTTACCTTGTCGATTTCTTCATTTATTCCCTCCACTTCGTACCCCTCCACTCTCTGAGCTGAGATAGAGAGGGCGAGTTCGTCGTCCCTGAACTGCATGTAGTCGTTGATACTCCCTAGAAATCCATTGACACTGGATAACTGGAGGGAAGCAGGGTGATGAGATACGTATGTAAAATGTATGTAAAGAAGACCCTGAATCAGACCCTCACCATCCCTCTGAGTGTCTGCTCCACGTGGGGCTCCTGGGTGTTTGTGAGGATGGCCTTTAGCAGCAGGGGGTACTTTGTAATCCTCTGATGAGGTTTGGCTTGCATGTCTCCAAGCCTCATCCGCTCACACTGAGGGTGAGCCTCCACCCACTGTACAGAACAAAACAAAAACATAATTTATCTTTGTCTTTTCGATTACATTTTTTAAAAATATATATATGTATATATATATGTATATATATATAAACAAAAGAGATATTTCCTGTTGAACTGTCTTTAAGTGAGGAAGGTAGTTAAGTTTGCCACTAATGCAGGTAGGAATGCACAGACAGATATTGCTCTATTGTTTGGTTTTCAGTACGATGAGCAGAACATATATGACCTGCAGCCAGATTTGAAATCTAAAAAATCTGCTGACGCTTAATCATTTGGAAAACATGTTGGAGTAGCAAGTGACTTGCCAGGCTCGAAATGTCTACGACAGGTCGCCAACAAAGTTATGACAATATCAGAAACCACACAGTGCCACAGTTAACAGAGGCCCCAGTCATCGTACTAAATTCCATTCAGCTAAGAACTGTGTTAGCATAGCAGAGCGTTTCAGTCTGTGTGCTTTCATCCTCACATGTATTTGTTTGTGTAGCATTTTGCATGGTTGCTGCTTTGCCTTACCTGGATGAATGTGTGGAAATGCGGGTTTAGCTCCATTTGCTTGCGCGCAAACTCAAGATTGTCTTCCTCTTCCCAACAATAATCATGGTAGACAGAAAATCGCTCGTGGAACTGGGAGTGAGAAAAGACGAAGATAAATAAAAAAAAATTGAAATCTCTGAAGTTTATGGGTGATTGTGCACGTCATTCTGTGCTCATGTGGCATTTCTGCATGCAGAGACTAACAATATGCGGAAGGTTCATATTCCTTTTAAGTATGATGCACAGATATTATCTCAAGATGTGCATTCGTGGCATTGCTGCTGATCTCACATGCAACCTTCTTTCTATCTTTTGTTTTTTTAACAGCCTTTTCATTTTTTTCATTCCATACAGAATGAAACTTGTTTTGTAATAAAAAGGCTTAATTGTTACCTCTTAAAAAATTCATTCAAGAATCAGGCTTACTAGTACATGAGAAGATTGTAGTAATTTGTTTCTAAGCTGCACTGGAATTAATAAATGTATTTAATGGAGAGAAATTATGTTAAGAGAGAAAAGGATTTATATTCAGAAAACTATAGTGCTAATGTAAGTACATTCGTTTTTATAACCAGGAATCGAGCATGTTTGCAATGTATTTCACAAAGAGTGAATTATACCTGCAGGCATCCAGCTTCTAGCCTCATAGGGTCAAAGGGTTTCCCTGAATGTCGGACTTCCTGCAACATTGGAAAAACCACCTCCTGCCAGAAGAGCTGGTGTGCATGGAGGATGGAGGGGAGGTTGGAGAAAAGCAGTTTGGGGGTCACCTGATGCGGGGGTCAAAGCAAAAGTAAAACATTTTCATTTACACTGCCATGCTTTGTGATATTTTCCATCTTCTCAGTGGAAACATGTTGTGTTTCAGAACATGTTCCACTCGCTTTTGTGTGTTGTATTTTGTCTCATCTTGAGCGGATGTCAGTCAGCGTTTTTAAAAATGATATGCAGAGCAGTGGAAAATAGGCTGGCTTGTTTTTGTGCCACTTGTTCAAGTTTTCCTCTCAGTATGAGGCTGAGCGCTTTGCAGACTGACCTCCTGGAGAAGTCCTTGCTCATGCAGCTTAATGAGAGCAGCAATAACCAACTGTGAGACACAAATGGAGGAATGTGAAACATCCTGTAGAAAATCCCATGAAAATACATTATTTTTCAATACAGATGCAATCTGTGACATCTTACGTCTTGGATGATCTTCAGCTTGTTGATATAGCTGAGCTCAGTGTGGACAAACTCCCACAGCGCCTCCTGTTGGTGTTTCTGCATCTTGGGCATTGTCTGTGCTCATGAAATCAAGATGGAGGTCAAAGACAAGAAAAAGGAAACTGCTGTTCAAGACTCTTTCAACAACGTATTAATGTACATACTGAGTATGTGTTTTAAAAGAGGACTTTTTTGGAACCATTGGAAATTTTTACTTCCTGTCTTTGTACTTCTCCACTTCTGTACTTGTGTGAGGCAGCAATAAAAGCTTTAATACAATGAAGTACACCACAGAGTGGAACAAAGAGCAATATGAAGGCCGAAAGCTCCTGTTTACAACTTGGGTGTAAATTGAAAAAGACAAAATGCTGTTCCTTACTGAATGAGACTGAACTAAAACTGTCCAGCTGCTCTCCAGTGTGGTTCCCTGACTTTCCTCCTTCCACCTCCATTTCAGACTGTCTGGCACAGCAAACGAGTCAAGCTCCTGCCTCAAAGCGTCCAGCTGACCTCGCTCCTGCCAGGGAGTTTTAAAAGCACAGACATGCACAGACACAAAAAAAAGTCAGAGAGGGAAAACTGGAAAATCTGATCGCACAACAAATCAGTGGCTCCATAGCTGTGCACACATGTTTTGCATATTTGCGGCCGCACAAAAAGTATGCCAGTGGAGCAGAACAAGAAATGCTGCATCGATTTAAGTGTTTGAGTGGGCGGGTGCAGTTAAAGGCAAGTCTATACTGTATCTGTTTTTAGTCTGTGAGAATGCCGTTTGATAAGCGTGAGACATCATAATACCTCAGACGTCTTGTCAGACACTCCCTGACTGAACAGGACCTGTTTTAGTGCCGCTCTGGGTTTTGCTCCCGAAGCGCCTCCTTTACTCAGTGTTGAAAAGTCGGTCACAACCTTCTGCTTCGTCCGTCTCTGCAACCAGAGAATGATAGACAGGTTCAATAACAGGTTTTAAACTGACAATACAAATGAGTATCAGCTTCATGTTTGAAATATCCTGTAATTTATCCACTTTCTACTTCTAAGGTGACACACTTTTCCGTAGTAATGGAAGATAGTAGTTTGGAAGTTTTTGAAACAAGTACATTTTCTGTAGACTGATGAGTCTGATATTCTTTGAGGAAGAAATTATCAAAATAAATAACAACAAATACATTTGCATTTCTAAACAAACATTTAGCACTTGTATCACACTCTTATCCAAAGCGGCAGGCACAAAAAAGGAGAATTAATGATTAAGTATGTTTTGAAGTACAATGTACAATTCAGAGTTACAACCACCAAAACCTTTATCAACAAAAAGGTCCAAAATCCACCATCTGTGACGATAAAGTGGAAAATTAGTGCCAACACCATAAATTGTTTTAAAGGCAGACAAACATGTCTTTTCTTGGGAGGTATGTGGTTATTTCATCCGGACAAAGTCAGACCTTATTCAACACTTTTTTACAGCAGCATTTTCCCAAGAAGACAAAGACTGTGCTTAACAAATCTTACTGTAGTCACATCAGCCAAAAACGCAAAATGCACCCAAATGGTAGAAGAGGACAATGACCCCAGGCCGCTGAGCAGCTTTTTAGAATGAACCCAGATTTTATCTTGCAAATTACAACAACAGTTCCACAAAAAAGAAAAATCGCCAAACAAACTCAGCAGTTATTAAATGACAGACTTAATGATTTACACTATTTTAAAAGACTTCCCATCTTATCTGAAAATGTTTCAGAGATGAGTTTGTTCACCAAATTACATTTAATGTTTTAGCCCGGTGTCTGTTCGTTTTACAATTCATGGAAATGTGTCACATTAAATTGAAAAAAACTGTTAAACATTTAAAGATGCTGCAGGCATTCAGGTAAAAAGAATCTTGCTCAGACAAATAAGTTTCTTGTAGTGCCTCTAGCGTCTAACTTCTGTCTTTACTTGCCTGATGGCCGATTGTGCTGAACTTGAGTTTTTCTGCTGACCCCCTGTGGTGACTGTTTGTCTCTGCAGCTGTAGTCATGCCATCGACAACATCCGACTCTCTGGTTTCTGTTTCTCTCTGCCTCTCCCCATGAACACTGTCTTGCCTCTGCTCCATTTCTTCCAACGGTGACTCATTTCCCTCTCGGCTGTTTACTTGCAGCACCTTTGAGGGAAGGCTGAGGGCAAACACCCAGGGTTACTTATTCTCAAAGTGTACACACTGAGCATTTTCAGAGTAGGAGAGACCTTGTAAATGAAGCACATGGAAAAATAATTATTCAGTGTTTACTTAGGCTCTGAGGAAGTCGTTTCAGGGCATGAGTTTAACTTTTGCATTTTTTGGTCATATTTACATAAAAAGCAAAGGCAACAAAGTAAAAGGACTTTTGGATCACATGGACACTGACACTGTCATAACTGGACACATTAGTTTCACAAAGTTCCAGCTCTGGTTACACACATACAGATTGCAGGTTAGATTACAGTAAGAATTTACCTCAAATCTCAGGAGGCTCCTGTGTCTCAATGAACCGTTTGACTACTCTCTGCAATAGTCGTCAGATAAGCGATACTTTTGTTAAAAGCTGATCAGGGGCTGCAGATTGAAAACATCCCTAATAAAGCATTTGTTTGTCTCTTCTCTCACTGCAACTGATGTTCATTCTGATCTCTTTAAAGCCTCAGACGTTGGCTGTGGGACACACAGGTGTGTTTCACTAATCTGCTCATGTCAAACATCGGAAGACTGACGTAGGTGCTTTCCTCAGCATGCTGTACCTGTTCACAGTCAGATTCAGAAGAATATCTGACATCTAATTCATTTAGATTTTCAACACCTTAGGCCAGGTAAATGGTGATAACAGTTCTTGAAGAAAGGCCTCTAAGCACTCGTCCAGCCTCTGTAAATCCACCAATGAAATACACGTCCAGAGTCCGTAACTCTTGACGAAAGCTCCGGCAAGAGCAAGACTTAAAAGAGGTAAAACAAACATAATGTTTTACCTCTTTTGCACCATACCCCTGTTAATCCTTAAACAAATAACTGGGTATTGAATAGAGAAAACTACAGACTTTACCTGGGCTTGTTTGAATCCATTTTCGCTTCACGCTGTCATCTTTGGTTTCTGTGAGCTTTCTCCTCCTCTTCTCTCTGTCATGATCAGCCCCTCCCACTCCTCCTTTCACCTGCACCCCTTCCTATGCAACTGGCCTGACGGGAACAACTGGATCTGTAGCCAACAAATCAGTGCTGAGGGGCGGCTAATGTGTCGCATTGAAAAGTGCTTAGTGGAACTGAGGCGGGGACTGAAATCTTTGAAGCTCATCCATTGCCGTTTCTCGTCAATCTGGCACATTGACCTGCCCAGGAAGACAGGAAATAATTTTCCATTTGGAGGAGAAGGGGCTTTCATGAACAGAAGTTGTTCCTCTGCTTATTTGGTGACAGAAAACAAGATCCAGAGCTTTGAAATCAGCCATCGGAATCTGGATGTGTGCTGATAAAGTGTAAAAGAGATGGAATGGTGTGCATGGAAAATGTTCCCAGAAGGAGGAAAAGATGAAGGCACTCAGCCACTGGGGATTAAATGATAATAAAGATCTTGTAGTTTTCATAGAAAACAATTGATTTTTCAGTTAAATCAATAAAAAGAACTATGTAATCACAGGTGTTTTGAGCCTCGTGCTGGAATGCAGATTGGCAGCGTGTCTGCAGTTAGACACATTAACATTAACATCCATTAACATCCGCAAACATTTTCTCACTCTTTTCGTCACGCCCTAACGTTCACGTTCAGACAAGTTCATGGTACAGTTCAGACAAAGACTGGTGGAAAATTTATTCAAAGAGATATGTTTACTCATCAAAAATGGAAAACAGGGACAGACGTCTTGAGAGTTCTTCGGAAACACACTTCCTCAGTGTTAATGACTCATTTGAATCGGGCATTACTGCCGGGCTGAGGCAGATTGAGATGAGGAGTGTCCTCTTTTCTCCAACAGTCACGAATAATGCTGGTATGATGGGGTCTGAAGGACAGCAAAGGGGCTGTGAAAGGCCTATGAAAGGTGTTACAGTACTGATCAACACTGAGGAGGAAGTACACACTTCCCCAAGCATTGCCAATTCAAACGGAGTCAACCATGTTCACTTCTTTACACAACTGCTGTTACTAAATTATTACTCATAAAATCTATGACACTGGTTTAAAAGCCAACATTTAATGAGACACTTTTCTATGAAAACAACTTTTAAAAAAAATATATGCTTGAAAATGTTCCCAGCCAACCTTTGATGAGTGACAATATAGTAAAAGAGTAGCTTAGGTGACCTAAAAAAGATAACGTAGGAGTAATTTTTAAAATTAATTTGTAAAATTATAAAGCTATATGAAAATACAATGTTGAACTAAAATGCAAAGACAGGCATATAGAACTTTTTGACTTGGTTGGCATGTAGCTGTGGGCTCAGCCGTTGCTCATCACTGTTAGTTTCCGACTTCCTGAAACTGACCATCTTCCTGATGAGACTGACGATGCATTTGTTCTATTTCACATAAAAAGAGCCTTGGTTTTTACACGTTAAAGTAAGTGCACAGATGAGAAGAAAACTGTAATATAACATCTTACTGTAAAGAACCCTTAAAGCACTGCCAGCACCTCCAAAGCTGTCACTCCCCTGAAATTCTCTGTAAAACCACAGCTGACTTGTTCATCAAAGACATCTGGGTTACGATGTCGGTAGGTTGACTTCGTTACCTTTCAGCCGAGGTAGGCCAGCTATTTCTCCGCTTTAGGCTAAGGCGATGAAAGCTGCAGCTTCACAGTCGCTGTACAAACATCGGCCTTCACCCCTGCCTCTCAGCTGGAGTGTGTCTCGCTGTAAAGGATCTGTGTTTTACATTAAGCTCCATTTCTGTGAACATGTGTGAGAGGTTTGAGTCTTTGCTCACAAGTGAGGGGATGTTTACAGTGATGAAAAGTCGAGTCCTCAGTCTCAGTTTGATTGTAGCACCTTGTCCATTTATAGCCCGTCCACGAGCAGGTCCCCATTGGCGAACAATACTTGGTCTGTTCATGCGTGCTGGCGGGCGCCGCGGGATCAGTGAATGCCATACTTTGTCTCGAGTTCTTCGGCAGCCCGACCCAGGTGCATCTGTCTCAGTTTGTCCAAAAGCTCAACCAAAAGCGGCCGGTGTAACATTCCACCTCGTCCCCCTCCGGCTGCGAGCGAGCCTTTCTCGGCCCACACCCGCAGCATCTGGTAGTGAGCCTCCTTGCAGCATCGGTGGTCCATCTCAGCTTGTTCGATCTCAGTGTCCTTCAGACCCAGAGATCGCACCAGCTGCTTCACCTGCGGCACAGGAACCACATCCAGCACCGTGTAGATCACCTCAGACACTGCAGAGGAAAGAGAGAGAGGGGTGGGTGTTCAGGGACAGTAGTTGTTTGTACGTTGAAACCAACACACTCTGCTAAAGACTCACTTTTTATCTCCAGAGGGACGCAGTCAGGCAGACTGGACGGCTCCGGCTCAGTCAAATGAACCTCAGCAACGGATGTCACATTGCTGTTCTTTGAAGGTTCATTGTTGTGGATGAGGGCCTGCTATGGGACAAGAAGACATTTACAGATTGATCAACTGCCAAAGCACATCCAGACAATTAAAGTAACCACAAACATTAGGATCAAGATACCTGGCAGGAGTCAGTGGAGACAATGGACAGCTGGGACAGAGGAGTCTCCCTCCTCCTGCTTTTCATTGTAAGCTGCTTTTTGGCCATATAGATGATAAAAATCACCAAAAGAAGTCCCACAGTTATCGGTCCAGCAAGCAAATTCACAAAATTTTCATTTTTGGATCCAGAACCTTTATGAGGAAAAACAGAGGCACATAAATACGTTACATAAGTCTAATATACATTGTCATTCTGCTGATCATCTCTTTCATACTTCATTTTAATATTGATGACTTTACAAATGCATCTTAAACGCTTCAAAACACCAAATCACTTTTCCTGTATGTGCAAAGGTCCAGAGAATAGTTCCAAATAGTCACATGAATAGTTTATCAAATGAATGCACAAAGCCTGGATTACCAGCACAAAAAATACAACTATTATTGATGTCCTTCACTATGGGACATTGAGCTTTACATACAAAATTCTGTCTGCAAGTCCAAAACTGGGTAAACGCGTAAAAAAAAAAAAAAAGAAGTCAGACGTTTAAAACGTTTATTAATAGAATTCGAGACTGCTGATGTTGGCTTTTTTGTCATGAAGAGAAGAGGATGTGAAAAAGTAGTGCAGAGGTTACCAGACATATACATATATATGATGAGTGTATGATCACATAATGAATTTGTCACTCGTCTGGGCAGTGGGTGTGAGTTATGCTTTAGAAAAACATCCCTGATGGTGCTTACCTTTTGTTGCCTTAGGATTTGGGGTGGTATTGCTGTGGAGAACAAAGAAGAAGTTTAACAACCCTGATGAGGAAGTAGCACATCTTAAGAGGAAGTGATTACCAGGAAGGCCTATGTTGCCTTTTCTGCAATTGAGCTCAACAAGAATGTGGTTTCAATTGACACATGAACCGATACAAGACCATGCAATATTACGTGCACAGTAAAACGTTGCCGTTCTCATCTTTATGTAAACAAAGATGAAGATATAGTTCAATTTACGGGACACTCCCAGTGTTTCCCTCTCAAACATCTATGATCTTTACAAAATCCACAGATACAAACACTGAAAGTTGCTCCACAGAGCTTTAGGTCGACCATGATGACCAAGAATTCGTCAAATTTAACTCTTGGTCCTTATTACACTATATTGATAAATATTGTTGTATCACAGAATTCATTGGGTTCAGATCTTTCGTGCTACTCCCTCAGCCAATCAGGTCAGCAGTAGATTAGCGACATTAGCGAAGGGCTTGTTAGTCACAGCAGAGCACTTTTAGTGTGTCATAACTTCTCTATTGTATTGCCAACAAATGGAAAGACTGAACAAAGACCTTTTAGCAAGTTTCAATTCCTTACTTTACACCAAAATAAAAAAACACAAACTGATCGAACTGAGAGACTGGAGTAATACATGCATGGGGGTCTTACATCTAAGTTGTATACTCACTTTCTGCTCACTTGTTCACATTTGCCCATGACTCTTTCGTAGTTCTCTTTACATCCACATACAGTGCCTCTGTTTTCTGTGCCTGTCCACAACAAGAGTTCCACCATTTAAACAAAACTGAAGATCTACAAGACGGCCAAAACCATCCATGAAATCTTTAACACTACCAGAGCTGAAGACTTACATGTTTGGATTTCCTTTTCATTAGGTCCACACTTTGTACATTTGAGGCACTGATAGGTTTCTGTGTCAATATAATCTTTGTAATAACCATCTTCACATCGACAAATAGCGTTTTGGTCTCTTTTACATTTTGTTACCTCAATTTCATGGTTTCTTGCTGCAAGAGAGTATACGACAGGAAATAAAATAGATTAATTGAACGTCTGATGTTCACCAAGATGAAAAATTGAGTTAAAAAATATAATGTTCTACCTTTGCAGATTTTGCACGGTCTGCAGTTAGGGGAAGCGTTAATCTGGTCGTTGTATTGACCTTTCGGACAGGTTGTGCAATTACTTCTGTGGCCCACAGTATGACACTTTTCTACAAGCTTAAAACCTGAAAACACAAAAAACAAAGTAATTCTTGTGTGAAAGATCAAATTAGCTGGCTGGCATGTGCATTATGTGGCCTGCAAAGAGCACCTGCTGGGCACTTGTTACAACATATCCCATTGTCGTTGTCATAGTCTCCAATTGGACACTTATGGTCGTCTGAATCTTGCAGCGTGGAAGCAGGGAAGGTCATGCACTGAAAGAAATACCTCAGAGTGAGCTTAGCCTTAGAATATGAGGCACGTGTTTAAGTCCTCATCAATGCATTTGAAAAAGTTCTCACCATGAGGAGCAGTAAGAGGCCAATGAGGGATCTTTTACCAGACCATTGTGGATGTCCAGATCCCTCCATCATCTTTAACTTAATTCATTAACTTGATCCATCTGAGGTCACCTGGAAGAAAAAGAATCAATGTAGCATGACGAACGTTGGATATGTGCAGTTCTTTAGACTTTAAACAAGCTATAGATAGACCCTTTATTAACTGTAACTCGCTGCTTTTGGCACTGATGTTATGTCCCTGTCATTAATTCACAAAGCTTTCTCTCTTTATTACCATGACTTAAAACTTCTTAAACATATCAGCACAGAGAGAAAATAATAAAAATAAATTTTCATCCAGAGAGCACACTGGAACTAATGGTGAGGGTAAAACAACAGCACTCCCATAATGGCATCAACTTATCTGCCGACATTGCACAATCTGTGGTTACATTTGAGAGGCATCTCTGCTTTTAAGTAACACAGTAACCACCAAACTTGGTTGCACCATGTGGAAGCTGCTGCTGACAGGTCATAGTGCGAAACAAATCTGACCATGAAAAGATTAACCCAGGCTGAGTCAGACACGCTCTAAATGATGAGCATAGAGGTGACAAACAATTGAAGTTCAGGAGAAAATGTGGAATTAGTTTTTCTTGTTTTCATCTTGTAGACTAAAAAAATATACTAGTGTAAAGCCACACAGATGCTCTTCATGAAAAAAAAACAACTAATCCAGGATTCTTAAAACCTATTTTACTATTATATAATAAAGACAATAAAGATAGCCAGTCACACACTTTATTGTGGTTGTTATGTTGATGGGAAACGAGGAAATAAAAGGCTCGACAGTCCCAGGAGAAAACAAGAATGGTTTCCTCATCAGATAGAACGAAAGGCATGGTCAGCCATGGGAAAGGAGACCCTCTGTTGTCTTATCTCAGTAAAGGCACAAGCCAGGAAATTCCATTTAACCCCACATACTTACAGTTACACTGACGTTCTTTTTCAAGGCTTTCACTTTAAATAGCAGAATATCTTTGGCTGATTTGAGGGTGCAGGAGCGACAGTAGGCGTGCGGGTAATCTCGTGACAGGGAGGCTTATTCTCAGCCCCCCATTTCATCCAACGCGTCTGATGTGAATGTTCAACGACAGATCGTGATCTGTTATACTTGAGGAAATGTGCGGTTTGCTGAGAAGTACTACAACGTTCTTTAATGTGGATTCAGAAAAACGGATGTCACGCATTTGTGCGCCACTAGTTTACCCCCACCCCTCTCTCTCTCCTCTCCGCACACTTTTTCAAACATTTCGAACTTTCCATTATCAATTATTCAGGTTCATATGTCATTTTGTTTGTTTTTTTTGGTATGTAAGCGTACAGTTTGACGATCCACATCCACAGACAAGACATGACTTTTTTCAGCCAAGTTTCGGTTTTAAGAGCCGCACAGACGCCCACCACTGCCCGAGGGCTGATATGAATCTGCCCCCCCCCCCCCCCCCCCCCCCCCCCCCCCCCCCCCAACAGACGCGCAGTAACGTTTGACCGTCACTTACCTGGAACACGGCGCGCGCTCTGCGTCCACTTCTGGACCAGAGGTCCGAAAAAAAACGGCGTCCGGGGCGAATGGAGTTCGTTCTGCCAGGAGCCGAGCGGCACCTCGGACCTGCTCAGCCTCGGCTCAGGATGAGGAGGCGGACTCAAACGGGAAGTGGCTGCGTCACCGCCGTTTCAAGGAATTGTGCGGCGGCAGTTGGGCAAGAAGAAGCCCCGAGACGCGCGTGTGAAAATCACAACCTGAGCTCTGTCAGACACGAGCTGGGGTGGATTCCAGCGGTGTGCAGCCAGCCTCACACTCAACACCTTGTGTGACAAACAGGAAAGTGAAAAGTGCTTCGTCACGCAATTCTCTGGAAGTCTTTGGGCCACCCTTCCCGAAGTTCTCCCTCATTTAATGGCCTGGCTGGACGTCTTCCGGGACGCACACTTTATGGATGTTCCTTTAACTAATTCCAATTCGGGAAACAATGACCAAAACACAAACCCACACAAAATTTTTTAGATGTAACATCTGTTTTATTCGTATGAAAACGTAAAGGTGTTTGTAAAAAACAAAAACAAAAAAAACATAGACTCCTCTTTGTAATTTATGATTATGATAGAAACATGTGAAAAGTTTTGATGTACAGCTCAAAGAGCGTGCCTGGCTGCTCGTTGGTTAACAAAAGAAGCAGTGGCCTGGAAGTTGGGACAAGTGAAAGCTTCTGAGGCTCCCTCACATCAGAGTGTGTTCAAAGATAGTGTTTGTTCATGGTTGGCTGGGTCGACAATTTGGAGCAAAACAAATAGGCCAAACCCACGTGGAGACACTCAGACAGATCTGTCCTCAATGTCCCAGTGACAGATGCTCACAGAATCCCTTTATCAACTCGCTCACACACACACCACAAACCACTGCATGTGATAAACTAGGAGATGGTGACTGGTAAGAGCATGTTTCAGTCACTTGAAAAAGAGCAGCTTCAGACTTGTGCTGCTCCCTGCTGGCCACACAAACTCTCCAGTCAGAAACTGGACATGCACGACTGCTCTCTCTGTTTTTACAGTAAATGTTTATTCTTTGTGCTCCTTCGACCTCAAATATGAAATGATTAACGTTTATTCATCAAGAACCTTTCTCAGATGATGACATGTGGGGACAAAGCTTGCTTGAATAGACAAATCTTGAGCTGTTTTTTTAACAACAAAGGTTAAAACAATGAGATTTCATCCAGCAGCTCAGACTGCCTAAAAGTAACGATCCCACTGAGGTTTGTGGCGAGTAGCTAATAGTTAATCTTTGTTATTAAAGGTTTAATTGCTGGGGCTCGGCTGAATCTTCCCTCCTGTAGGACGGGGCCACTGACGCACCCATTCCCTTTGGAGGAGAGCAGCTTTGTTGTTTCAGGATCATGGTCATTAAGCATGAGCTTTCAACTGACTCCTAGTCACAGTTCCTGTTCATACATGCACAAGCTGAGCAGTCATTGTAATATTTGTGCTGGTAAATTCTCTCCTCTAATTTATTTCTGCCAGGACAATACAGATCATACGGTGGTCCTGCTGAGTTATATAGATACCATGATAAGGCACGGTTGCATTATAATGTATCACACAGTGGATTTGTTGGTTGCCTGTCTTCACTAATTTATTAAGTTATTTTATTGTCTGTACATTTTATGAATATCTTATAACTCACTGGCCAAATTATGACAATTTTAGTGACATCTTGTGGTAAATCTTTTTACTGCAGCAGCATCTGTCAGAAATTATGGGAGGCTACGCTATAACAACTTATTAATAAAGTCATTTTAAATATTATCTCTGATATGATCTGACAGAATAAGAAGGTGAACATGTTATATTGTTGTTGGGATTATGAAGTACTATTCTTTAACATTGTGAAGTGATCCACCTTTAAAAAGCATTACTGTATGTACTTAGCCGTAACTACAGCTCTGAAACATCTCAGGAGTTTTGGCAAAAGGAACTATTTCAAACCTCTCTGTAGATGGTCATATCATTGCATCACTGCTTGGCACAGGCATGTTGAATCCATAGTTTACATTTAGTGACGCTCTTAGCTCTAATTTGTGGTTTCATTTTTTAAAAATATTCTAAAACACTGAAGAAGAGGACATTTTTACATGTTATTGCACATTGTGGACCATGACATAGTCCTGAGATTATCTACTAACTAGTTCAATCTCTCGTGATCTTATGAGAAACAGAGCTGAAGAGCTCATTCAGTAGAGCGAGACAAATACTTCCTCAGAAGAACCACATCCTTCCTTTAAGGGTGCAAATAATGTCCTCATCTCTTATTTATCTTTTTGTCTTTCATTTCTCAGCGTCCCGATTGCACAGCTAAACTAAAGGACTTCGGAAAATGAAACTTTGCATAATTGCACATGACAACACACCGCCGACTCTCCCACCCAGTCATTTCGGACCAGTTGTAGGGACCGAATTCAGAATCAACATGTAGATTTGCTTCTAAAAATGTATTTGTTTACCTGTTTAGTTCATCACAGAAATATCAGCCCTAAACGTTCCCCTTAGCTTCTGTTTGAACGTATCATCCTTACGGTCAAGCAGTGGCAATACTGAAACCTTAAGATGACTAGGTTTGCTCTAAGTCAGCTCAGAATGATTTTGATGCTTATTCACTCTTGCCCAGTCATCTATATTTTCTGTATTAGTGTTGCTGCTTCTTCAGAGGCATGCACAGCCTTTGAGGCCGTCCCTCACACAGACCCTGCTGTCTGAGACTGAGGGGAGGTCACATGCTGCTGTGGTTGTGAGTTCATGCATAGTAGTGAAACTTCATCATAACAGGATCTCTCACTCCATTTGCTAAAACAACAAGGCAGAAGCTTAAAGCATTTGAAGCCAGAATGAGAACTTTAGGAAGAATAGTATAAAGTGTAGTTTTTTGTTGAAAGCTGTGCACACATTTGCGCGTTAGTTGGTTATCACTGATCAACTTGAAAAGTTCTCATACCCCTGTAGAGAGGTCAGTAAAGAGAGTTTTCTGGAGGTTTGGCATTTATATGAAACTATCTCATCAGTCTCCACAAGGTGGAAGTAAGAACTGAAAAAGACAGCATCTTCAAGCAAAATATTTCTTCTTGGATGAAACGAGAGAGGAGATGGAAAACGTGGAGGTTGGTGGAGGGTATGCTGTTGCAGGGGGTCCATGTAAAGACAGTTACAGGATGAGACAGAGTCAGAGCAAAAGTGTTGTTCTCATGATGAGTCATTATTGGAGTGTAGTGAATAATCTTCTGACACACTTCTGGTCAGCTTTCATTGCAGCACTCAGAGGGTCCCAGGTAACATCTCGTGGTATCTTTCTCACCATGGTAAGTGAAGACAAGATTTTAAGCTTCTTTTTAAGCTTCTTCTTAAAGCTCATATTGTGTTTGATGGCAGGCTCTGTTCATGCTTGACTGTTTTGTTAGTTCCTACATCCTGCGTGACCCTTCATTGAGGATGAGAGGTCAGGTATCTGTGTTAGAACAAGACACATGTAAAACATAAATACGTAGCATGTTTCGTGGATTTTCTGCGAGACACTTCTAAAGCAAACTTGTATTCTGACAGGAGACAACTAAAAACATACGTGTCTGCTCATCAGTTGCTGATTCTTGTCGTTATGCAAATATATCTGACACCATAAATAACCTATTTCATCGTCCTCTCTCTGTTCTCGTTGTCTTCCTGTTCTTTCTCTTGTTTGTTCCTTCTATAATGCAGCAAGTCCGTCATTTTACCTTTTCCTTACTGTGTAGTCTTCTTTTGCTCCCTTCTGGGATCTCCATTGACTGTGATAGGACACAATATGAGTGGCCACTAGACGATCCCAAGTATTGTTGCAGCATGTGTTTGCCAGGTACAGCAACTTTGTTAAACTTTCTTATCTAAAACGTATTGCTTGGATGGATGTTTGACCATAAAAGTATCATGTGTACTACAGGTCAGCATATGGTTCGGCGACAATCTGAAAATTGTGAGATCGAATGTGTCACCTGCAAGGGCAACCGCTTCTCTGCCAGCCACAACGTGGAACAGAGCTGCTTTGTTTGTGAAACATGTGAAAAACGTGAGTAACTTTAAGACTTTAAGACCTTTGGGGTGGGATACTGATAATGTGCCAGAACTGACATTTGTCAAATGTAGTAAATGTGACAGGCACTGTCCCCATTTGTCCTCTCAAAGATGATGAGTCATAACCCAGAACAGAGCGGGTTGTAAAGTCCTTAAAACAGCAGTCCTCAAAGTCAGATTGTACACTGTCATCAAACATTCAGACTGAAGGCATGGGCTAGTTTTGGTTTGAATCCATGACTGATCGAACATTAGTGTGAAAGAAAACCACATACACAGACTCTGTGGTTTTAGGGTTGCCCATACATCATGGTCATGTGAACTCTACATTTATACCTAGTAATTTGTTTTTCTGGCTAATTCTGATCATTTTCAGGCCATGCCAAGCAATACAGTTAGTTGTTACTCAGCTTAATCTAGAAATCATGCTTTCAGAGAAGTAAATACATAAATCAGGGGATTTCCCATTCGTGTCTCAAAGGGACATGACAGTCAAAATGAGATGAAACAGAATGGGGGGAGAGGGGTCTGTGAAACCAATGTTGAACCGGCAGTAGGGAAGAATTCTGCTGGGTCTCATTTTACAAGCTGAAAACACCAGCCTCTGTTGGCAGCCCACCAAGGCAAAAGGAAGTAGACTAAATGGAGCATATTGGTGTCAGTGGAAAAAAAATGTGATAAACATCTCAGTGAAACACTGTACAGGTGATCAAAAACTGTCTGCTTATGTTTAAATGTCACTGCGGAAAAAAAAAGAGAAATTCAGCACATACGTGAGAACAAGTTTGCGATTCTCGGGCTGAATTTCAGGTGTTTGGGTTTTTTGGGTGCAAAATGTAAATAGGCTTTTATATATCTTGCCTTTGAAGCTTTCTTTACATACTGCAACCTCAGGGCTTGCAACTATCAGCCTATTTTTATCGCAAGTTCAGTCGTCACCGAACACGGCAATATCATCTGGGCTCGACAAAATTTTAGAAAAACTCTATTGTGTACTTTATAATCTCAGCAGAGGAAGGTGGGTGTCTAAAATGTCAAAAGGTCCACCGTCAGGGGCTTTATGCCTATTAAAACGTATGGAAAGTAATTTAGGTGGAACTCAAACCCACGCAAAAACTTCAGACGCTTCATTTGCAGTAAAACGGTGTCTGTAGTGCATCGGTCTTCATCACTGAATGTGCAGGTTATCTTTCTAAGAGAAAAACTGAACATTTGCCACACATTAAAGCCTCAGACTGCTTTTAGTCATGTCAGTGGCACAGGCGGTTCTATTCTATTACACGTCTCTTTCTGTCATCGACATTTGCCCACATGGTGACCAATTCTGAAAACTTTTTTTTTTTTAATCTAGTTATAACCTCTTGCCAAATGATTGTCATGAAGCAGTAGGGGTAGAAGGGGATATAGTGAGCTGTGACTTCAATCCCATTCTCTGCATGCTGTTCTTAACATGAGGTTTGTGAGTAGTGATCCCCAAGGGACGAAGGAAAGGAAGGCGAAGATTGCTAAATGTTTTTAACTTATTTCCTTATATGCAGCTGCAGATACAAAATTCTGGCAATACCTCTGGGACACTTTAGTTCCAGCTCTGAATCACAGCAATGTGCTCTAAAGCCAGCAGGCAGCTGATGGTAAATGGCTGGTAGTTTGTGATCAGACTCTACATGACATATTTACCCTCCGGACCATGACTATACATGGCCCAAAATTGTTCAGTTTTTACCATCATACCTGATATGGTTTATCAAAAAAGGTATTTTGTAATGACTCTGGCTTTGTGAAAGTCATAAAAGCAGTTTTCGGTTCGCTCACATTTGACATCAGATTAGGGTGCGACACCAAAGCATTCTGTAAAAAAGCAACTGTTTGATCAGAGTGAAACTGCTCTGCACTGAGAGCTGCACAGAGAGATACTCAGCACTTGAAAGAAGAGGTGATGATATTACAGCTTAATGACCTAAACCTGCCAGTTTTAGAGTCATCTGGCAATTTCTTGTAAGTATCAGGTCTAACAGACACTCTCCTCATTTTCGTGTGCTCAGAATTTCAGTGTCTGATGTCTCTAAGTTATATTTGTTACGGCAAACTGTTCTCCTCCCCCCCAGCCAACATGGAGCTCAAGACCAACTGTACAGCCACCAGTAATGCTGTGTGCACGTGTAAAGCTGGCTTTAAATGCAGTGACCAGGTCTGCACAGAGTGTGTGCCGACGCCACCCACCATCAAACCTGACCTGCCCGTGGCCTCTACAGGTGAGGGGCACCTGCTTTGCAGTCTAAACTAAATTTAAGGCAGAGTTGCTCAAGTAAAACTGATTTGTAAATAACTTATTTTAGTTTGACAGACCAGGAGAGCAAAATGCTCTTCAACCCAACAGTGGAGTTACTTTGAAAAGCTGTGATGGGAAAATCATCTTTTACATCAAAGCCGCAAACTAAAAGGAAATAAACAAAAAGGATAATGCTAAAATGAATAAACGTAACCATAGCATAATGAGAGGTTACTACAGATTTAACCATGAATATTTTCTGTTTCTTTATTTGTTGCACCACAGAAAACATTTTAATTATGTGTGGTTAGAAATGTGGTCATGTGAATTCACTATAAAGACGCCACCAGAGTGCAAATGTTTCACTGCCCAGGGTACCAAAAACTTTTAATCTGTTTCATATTTAGCAACTCTGGGAGTGCAGTATCTTTAATCCCCACAATATTTTTACTCTGCACAAAACTTCCTCTTCCCCTAATCACCACTCATTCTTCAGGGGTGGAGCTGATTACAGAGCAGAAGGAAACCATATCTCTCCTTCATCACAAGAAACCAAAAGTTTGAGGAAGTGGCCACAGCACGTAAAACTGAGATAATAAGCCTTATCTGAGGAAACAAAGGATTACAGGAGAGTCTTTTAAAAACTCTTGGATTTTAGAAATATCTGAGAGGGCCAGCTCTCACCCACCCAAGTCTAGGTGGCATTGGGAAGTTTATCTTCATTTTTAAATAAGGCCCCAATATTTCCTCACTTTAAAAAGGTGTTTCCAAATCTCCTCCCCTGTAACACCTATGGATCAATCACTGCTTGTTTCAGAGAAGAAAGCACCGCAGTGAGACGCTGAAAACATGTAGACAGTGAAGACAGAGTTATTTATTTCTTCATGATGACGGCATTGAATATGCATAATTTTCATTTTACACTGACTGTGAACAAATACACACTAACAAAGGGTACAAAGGGAAAACTAGCTGTTAGGAAATATGTAGTGTGACTGAGAAGAGAGACATTTGACAAATGAGACTTGTGTACAGTGTGATATTTTTTACTTTCAGCCACCACTCTCAGAGAGCTCGCCACAACCCAGGCACCTCTTGAACCCAACAGAGGTAAAGTAAACAAAGCGCTATGTATCACTGACGTGATTTCTTATTCCATTCTTAGTATCAAAACTGACCCTCAGAAATGCCTGTTTGTCTTCACTGCAGACACTGTGTGGTTTCTGGTGATTGTCGCACTGCTCTGTGCAGGAATCGGCCTGGTTTTCATGGCAAAACTCAAGCCATTTTTACTCTGGATCAGGTTAAATCGAGGTTAGTAGACTTCTCCATTTTCAATACCTTTTTAAACTGGCTGTATATCATAAAGAAGAAACCTCAAGATGACTAGGTGTGCTCGAAGTCAGCTCAGATTGATTTTCTCATTTCTGAGAAAGCTGTCAGCCACCAATGCAGAAAGAGGTGCTTTACCCTATTGACATCAGGTGAAGGGTCTGAACCTATGTGTTCATGTTTTTTTTAGTCAAGAGAACTCATTTTTAATTTAATGTATTTTTAATGTCCAAAAGCACACATGGAGTCTTTGGAAAAATTGTAAAAGAAGCGTCCATCAGATGATAGTAAATGCACTGAGGAGAATATTTTTCTCTCTTTGTATTACATCAGGGGTTTATTTCTTTGTATTCCAGTTGATCTATCCTTCACACCATTTTATTCTTCACCTTTTGCTCAGGTTACGTGTTGACTCAAAACACTCAGAAACCTCCACCTGCAGAGGATGAAAGTGTCTCCAAACC